ATTTCTTTAATCAAATGATTGTAAACTATTTTTTTTTAAATAAATAAATTTGTTGTAAAATCTTAACAAATTTTTATATTTGTATTTCTATAATTAGTATTAAGCATATTTGAAGCATAAATTCTATTAATTATAATGCTTAATTATATACTTTTATAATTAAAAATAATATTAATAAAAGATATATATATTATATATTTATTTATTAAAAAAAAAAAATTAATTTTTATAATAAAGATATAAATATTAAGAAATAAATGATAAAATATATGTAAAATATTTCTTATTAAAAAGAAGAATATGTAAAAGAATTAATAATATAAAAAAAATATCATGTTTTAGTATAATTAAATATTAAAATTTATTAAAAGATTATGTAAAATATATAAATAAAAAATAAAGATAGAGAAAATTAAAGTAAAACTTTAAAAATATTATTTCATCATTATTTTTTGTAATTAAAAAATAATAATAATAAAAAAAATTTTTATTTGAAAATTTAAGAAAATTATACTATTAAAAAAAATAATTAATTGTGAGTTACTAAAAATAATAAGTAATTTTAGAAAAATTTTATACATTAAGAATTAAATTATTTATAAATATATGATGAAATTAAATATTAAATAATATAAATATATAAATTTATATATTTATATATTTATATATTTATTTATATATTAATTTATATTTTTTATATTATATTTATTATATATATAATTTAAATTTTTTCAAAATAAAAAATATTTACTAATATATATTTAACATATATTAAAACTATTATATATATCTATATATTTTTTATATAATTTTTTTTATAATATTTTTTTTACAAAAATAATAAAATTAAATAAATTTTAATATGTTAAAAAACTTTTTCATGTACATAAATTATAAATTTATAAAGAATCTTCTAGTTTACTTAATTCCTATTTCGTTAAAGATAACATTCCTTCCAAAGTGTTTAATTAATTTAATAAAAATGCCATTTTTTAATCTAATTTTTTATCACTATTGCCTAGCTATTAGTTTATAATCTTATTTAAATTTAAATTTTAAACAAGATTTAGTTAAGGTAATATATTTTATTAAGCAATAGTATTATTATTAATTAAAAAATCATAATTTTAATTAAATTATATATTTTATTAAGGTTATATTATTATGTTTATTCTTTCATTAGGATTTAAGTTTTCTTCCTTTTTTACTGAAAGAGTAGTTTTTTAAATTTCTTTTTTAAAAGATCTTATTACTTTATTTTATTATATAAATTTTAATAAGAATAAATCATTAAATAATATTAATTAATTTATTTTTTTAATTAAATTACATTATCTTAAATATATTTAATTATAATTTTATTAAAATTCTCTTAGAAAAACTTAAAAAATTATCCTTCCAACTTTTCTATACTTTATTAATTATTAGCATATTTATCTTATGTTTAAGAAAAAATTTCATCTTCTTCTTTGATTTAAATGTCATTAAAATTATTATCTTCTTGATTTTTATTAATATTATTACTATTATTATTAATATTATTATTACTATTATTACTATTATTACAATTATTATTATTATTATTATTACTATTATAAATATTATTTTTTTCAATATTATTTTATTTTGGTTTTATTTTATTTTATTTATATTTTCTATAAAAAATAGAATAATCTTTTAAGCATTTCTATTATTTTATTTTAATATTGTTATTTTACAATAGCTAATACAATTTATTTTATTAACAGTAATTAGTTTTGCTTATTTTTTTATACTATCTTTTCTAATAAGGTTTTATTTCTTTTTCTTAATTTTAATAATAACAATTTTATGTATTTTTATATTTAATAAATTATTCGTTTAAAAATTATTATTATTGTTATGATTATAATTACTATTACTATTATTATTATTATAATTATTATTATTATTATTATTATTATTATTATTATTATTATTATTATTATTATTATTATATTATTGTTATTTTGATTTTTCTTCTTCATCTTTATTTTCATTCTTTTTATTACTTTATTCATCATTATTTTCATAGATTTATTCACTATTTTAATTTAATGAGTCACTTATAAGTTTTCTCACTGTACTATAAAATCTATTTTTTACTGCGTTTTCTGTTCTTCCTTTTTGATTATATATATTTTATATTTAATATAAAAATATATAAACCTATTAATTGCTTTGATATATAACTCCATGATGATCCATTATTTAAGTATCCTTCAAATATTATATTATCTTCATCTGTTGTCCAATTTCCTTTTTTCAAATATGGATCAAGGCTATTAAACCATCTTTCTCTACATTATTTACCATTTCTACCTTCTATTAATTCAGAACACATTTACCATTTTCTTGTACCATTTTATTTTACCCAATTAGACAATATTGTGTCTTCTATTTGACTCCAAGGTCCTTTTTTTTATTATTTTGATTAAATTTTAAAATTATTTTTTACATTTTTAAAAAATAATAATAATAATATATTATATTTTTGCATTTATATTTTTTTTTTTTATGAAAATGCATTTTCCCTTTTGAGTTTTTTATTTTTAAGTATTTTTTATTTTATATGATTGATTTTTGTTTTTGTTTTTTTAAAATTATATTTACCTTTCTTAATTTTAATGTTCGTTTTAGCTTTTTTTTAGACTTTTTTCATGCGTTTTTACTTTCTTTTGTTTCTTAGTTAATTTTTTGTTTTTGTATCAATATTATTTGTTTTTTATTTTTCTTTTTGATTTAATTATTATTATATGTATTTATATATTATTTTAATTTTTAGCTTTACTTTAATTTATAGGTTATAATATTTTTCCTATAAATTTATTATAAAACGAAGACATAAAAAAAATTATAATATAAATAGATTTTTTCTATAAAAATACATTAAAAAATAATAAATTTGCTATCTATTTTTATAAACCTCATTATAAATTATATCGTTTTTAATAAAAAAAATATATTAAATACATTTTTAGGTTTATAAAAAATTTCTATTCAAATATAATAGTATAGATAATATTTATTTTATTATTTTATATGAAATATAAAATAAATTAAAAATAAAAAATATAAATTACAAAAAATTATTGTAAAATTTTTTATTTGTCTTTATTATTTTGCCAAATGAAAATTTTGAAAAATCAAATATTTTATAAAATGAATAAAAATAAAATCATTAATATATTATCATAAAATTTAATATTAATTAATGATTTATACCAATTAATATAATACAATTTTTAAATTATAAAATATTCATATAAACCAGCAAGATTAAAAAAAAAATAAGTTAATTAAAATATAAGAAAATTAAATATATGTCAAAATTTAAATAACTAAATTAGAAAATTATTATAATTTTTTTTAGAAAGAAATAAAAAATACATTAAAAATGTTTCAATAAATGTATAAAAAAATATAATGATTATTTATTGAATTTAAATTATATGTATAATAATATTTGTATAGAATTTAAATTAAAAAAATGCATAAAATTTATATAATTTAATTTATTTAAAAAATATATATAAAAAACAATAATTAAAAAAAAAAATTATTTATTTTGGGGTTATAAAAAACCTAAAATAAAATATTTTGTAAATATATATAAGAAAAAATAAAATAGAATTAACATTTAAACAAAATGAATATTGAAATTAAAATATTTTTTATTTATATTATTATATATATGTTCATATATATATTTAAATATATATATATACATGTTAATTTTAAATATTTTAATATTTGTTTTAATTTTCATTCAAAAATATTATTTTACGTTTTTATATTTAAAATTTTATCATTTTTAATAATTTTTTTATTGTCATCAATATACTTTTATAAGTCTTTATTTAAAAATAAATTCCATCTTTATAAAATACATCTACTCCATTTAAGTTTATTTCCAGTTTATTATTAAAAATAGTAAATAATATTTTATCATAAACATTAACAAAATATTCTTATTCTATTTCATTCCCAATATAATATACTTTATTGTCTCCAATTTATTGTTTTAAGAATTCAGTAAGAAGATTAACTTAAGGTACATTAGAATTTAATTATTTTATATAAAAAACATATTTTTCATCTAGATCGTCAATAGAATTTAGATCAAAACTTTTTTATAAATTATTATGTATTATATTTTAAAATTATTATAATTCATAATCGAAATAATCAGTATTATATTTATTCAAAATATTTAAAATAGATAAAGATTTAAAGTAAACATATCCCGTTAGCAATGCATCATATCCAGCTTCATGTTATTTATTATTTTATTATTCTAAATCTAGTTAATATTTTTCTCCAAAAACCTAGATATGGATATTATTTTTACTCATTTTATATAGAATCTCAAACGATTATCTTAATTCGGATTAATTTTTTAATTATTCGCTTATTTTTTAACTTTTACTAATTATATGCTTTGTATCATATATTAAAGGGAAATAATTCTTTATTTTGTGTTTAAATTACTAATAACTATCTGGTAAATCAAATAAAAATTTATCATATAAATGAAGAATATCAATTAATCCATTATGTACTATTATTGGTTTTTTTTCTTTTACAATCTAATCAATTATTAATCGAAAGTTTATTTCTATATTTTCATAGTCTTAATATTATTTTATATAAGTTTATTGTTTTTGTTGTTCTTCTTCATCTTCCGGTTATTTGATTTTTTTAAGAATTATTTTTTTTCGAAGAAAAGGCATTTCATTATCATATAAAATTTCAATAATTTTCTTGTCTTTTTATATTGAATTAATCTTTTGATTTATTTATTTTTTAATATTTATTTATTTTTACATATTGTTCGAAATCATTAAAAAATTACTAATATCTTTATTAATTTAAATTTATGGTTTTTTTCTTTTTTCTTATGTTTATTAAAAATTCTGAAATCTTTTAATTTTTTTTGTTTTACTTATATATTTAATTTTACTTCAATAGAATTTTCAGCTATAAATTATTTTATATAATGATCTTATTTTTATTATCCTTTTAAAATCTCATTTTTTATTTCTTTTAAATCTATTTTCGATTGAAGTTATTATTCTTATTAAAGGGAATAAAAATAAACACCTTTTTTATAAAAATAAACATAATTAATTAATTATAAAATACCATTTTTAAATACTTCATTAAAATCCATATTATACTTTGCTAAAAAATTAAAAGTAGAAGCCTGTTTTTTAATTAATAATTTTTAAACCAAATTTTAATATTATTTTACATTATATAAATAAGTACGATCAAATTATCCATTAAAAGTATATTATCTTAAATAAATATTAAAAGGATATGCTTGCATTTAACTTTTAATTTATAATTTTTGTAATTTTCTATCTCAAAATAATTTTTTTACTGATTTTCTTAATTAATTTTAAAAGCACATAAACCAAATTATAATGGAAAAAAATTTGTAACATTTTATTTATTTTTCCAATATCTTTACTATAGCTTATTTTTTTGTTATTAAAAATAATAAATATTATATAAAATAAACAGTATCAAATCCATTATTCCTTAAAAGCTCTGAACGAGAAATACCAGATAATTCAAAATCAATAGAAATAAAATGCGATTCACTTATAATTTTCTATAAATAAGGAAGCAATTCTTAGAAATTATATTTATTTATATACATTTTTGTATTTTTAGGATAATTTTATTTTTATTATTAAAAAAAGATAAAATATTTAATTAAAAAATAAATGCCTAAAAATAAATATATATTTTATATTTTTTATTTAAAATAAAAAGAAAATGATTATCAATTTCTTTAATTATTAGTTAATTTTATAAACTTTTAATAAATTTAAAATACATTCAATTTTTATAAAAAAATACATATATATTTACTTATATTATAAGTTTAAATAAATTATAAATGTTAATATTATATATTTTTAATGAAAAAATATTGATATAAATACAATTATGATTTTTACAATATTAATTATAATGATTACAATATAAAAAATATTCAATATATTCTAATACTATTAATTTATTTATTATTAAAGAAAATATTTAAGATGATCTATATTTGAATTCTTATTATTAAAAATAATTTATATTTAGTAATAAAATGTCTATTTATAAATATATAAATAAAATATTTTTTTGTTTAATTAAAATAATTAGATTGTTTTATTAAATGTTAAATATATATTATTTTTAATATTTTTATTTATTTTAAGATCTTTTTTAATTATAAAAATAAATAAATAATAAAATAATATATTCTTATCATATATAATTATATATATAATATTTAATTATATATTAAATAATAATAATAAAATATAAAATTATTTAATTTATTATATATTATAAATATAAAATAAAAAATCTAAAAATACACTAAATATTAATTTTATTAAATACAAAGTATAATATATATCCTTTTTAAAATCAATAATATTTATCATATTTTTATTATTTTTTATCCCTTCTTTTTTTATTAAATAAACAATTTATTTTTTCAAAAAAAAAAAAAAAAAAAAAAAAAAAAAAAATTTGTATAAAAAATTAATCAAAATCAAAACAAAAAATAAAGTATTATGAAAAAAAATACGATTATTAAAACTAAATAGCATGAAGTTTTACCTGAACTTGATGATAAAACTCCTTCTATTTTATTAATTGCTGAATACATTAATTTTTAACCTCCGCTCATATTTCCATCCATATCATTTAATAAATCTTTTTCTTTTGATAAAAATTTATTTATTTCTTAAGATAAAGCTTTAACTTATTCTACTTATGATGATAATTCATCTATTTTTTCATTATTTTATTCTTCTATATCTCTATATATAACTTTTCCTTCATTATTTCCATTTTTTTAAGGGTATTTTTTCATTTTAATATATATATATTTTTTTTTATATATATTTTTTTATTAATATATATTTATAATTTTTTTTCAATTATATTTATAATTTTTTTTTTATTTTTTTCTAATAAAAAATATTTATTTTGTTTAAATTAATAATTAATTACTTTATAAAAATTTCAAAATCTAAAAATTTAACTAACAATTTCTATTAAAAATAAATATGAATTTTTACTTAAAATTAATAATATTTTTTTTTTTTTTTAAATGAAAAAAAAAAAAGTATAAATCATAATTATATATTATGTTTCTATATTTAATTTTTATTATTCAATTAGCCTCTCTTACTCCAAATCTTTTAGGATCAATATGTAAATGACATAAAGCACAATGTTAAAGTTTAAGTCTTTAAACTTCACTTTCAATCATTTTATGTCTACATCCTTTACAAGAATAAAACTCTTTTACAAAAATAGGTCTACCAGAAGCCACACATGGTGAATAATTACTTCCACAAGCTTTACAATGAATATCACTAAAATTAATATATTTTGTTAAAAAAAAAATATATATATATATATGTTTTTGTAGTTTTTGTTAAAAATTAAATAAAGATTACTATTCACTAACTTATTCTTAACAATTTTTTCCTGAACAAGGGTAATATTCACATTATCCATCTTAAGGTTAATTACTATATTATTATTATATATAAATTTTATAAAATATATATCATTGTGAAAATTAAAATACCGAGTAAATATAGCAACAGCAATATTTTCATAAAGCTCCTTTTCATCCTAATTTAATTCAGGTAAATTTTATAATTTCACAAAAGCTCTCGAACATTCTCTAAAAGATTTATTATAATAAGCTGCAATAGCAATAAGAGAATATATTTTCCTTTAATCCATATCCAATTCATATTCTGCTAATCTAATAGAACTTTTTAAAGCATATTTAAACTATCCATTATATAATTATTTCTGAGCCAAAATAAAAAAATGCCAAGCTTCAGCACCTCTCCAAGGATTATTTAAAATTTTATCAGCACTAGAAGTATTAATAGTACTAGTAATTAAAGAATTAAGTGTCTGTATAAATATATATATATATATATATATATATATATATATATATATTTATATATATATATTTAATATAATAAAATATAATTACCTTAGCAGTAGAATCGCCTTAACCAGTCATAGAAGCATCAAGCATTCTTTTTTTATACAAATCAACTTCTAAAGCCGCCATAACATACATTTTTTTAATATTTAAAGGATTAGCATCTCTTTCAATTAAATCATTTGCAATTTATGACAATATTTTAGCTGCTTCAGTATTTCTTTTAGCTTTTCTATATAATTCTGCTGCTTCAAGTTTTTTATTTTTCTCAAGTAATTAATTCGCATAAGTAATCAAAAGTGGCTCAATTTGAACAAAATTATGCTGTTCTGCCAAATCAACTGCTATATTCCAATTATTTAACAAAACACAGCAATCAACTGCCATTTTAAGGTCTCCGAACTTCTAATAACATTTCACAGCCTACTCACACAATCCCATTTACTAAAATACATCACCCAAATTTTTTAAAAGCTCACTTCTTTCAGGGATCTATAAAATAATTTTCTCCAAAGCCTCAAAGTCTTCCATTCGAGTATAACAAACAATTAATCCTTCATTATATTTGGCTAATTCATAACATTCTGCAGCCTTATCCCAAATAAACTATTCTGAATAATCATGTCCTAATTCCAAATAGGCTTTTTAAAGTTCCTAATCTTACCCTCCTGTCCCTTCTTTTATTTAATCAATGACTTTATTCCAATCTCCTACCCTCATAGACATTTAAACAGACAGATCCTTTCTTTCTATTTTCTTATAAATCTCATCAGCCTCATCTATTTTCCCATAATAGGCTGAAACTTCAGCTTTTTACTTATCTCTATCATCTAAATCTCTAATTCTTTTCACAAAACTTAGACTTGCGTAATCCTAGCAGGCCACAAAAGCATTTTCCGCAGAATCATAATCGTATACTTCCAAAGCTTTCTTAGCATACAATCTCCACAGACATTCATGATTATGATTTTTTATTATCTAAAACATTTCCTACATAGATTTCTTATGTAATTAATCTTTAATCTCTTTCAATAAATTAGACTCTATTTCCAATATAAGTTCTTCCGAATTCAAAACGCCATCCGGAGATTTCACTAAATCATCTAAATAAGCCGCTTTTATAACAAAATCCTTATATGAAATTATATATCCATCTGTCTATATAGGTTCTTCTGGAGTTAAATCATTCACTACATACATTCTCGATTTTTCCATAAAAACGAAACTGTTAGGAATATCCATTGAATATTATACAAACCAGCAGTCTTTTTTTTCAAATGGAAGTATTTCTCCCCCTTAATTATTGATTTTTAAAATACTTAAATTCCCTAACAAATCAATTGATGCAATATGGGTAGAATTCACATTAGCAGACATCAAAAGTGGTCTTTATTAAAAACAAAGTTTATTCTCCAATGAAAAATGTGGAAAAGCAAATTAACAAACAGCTCCTGACGATCTTGCAACAAATAAAAAATGCTCATTTGCAGTAGTACAGACAATTATATCATCTGTAATAGGCTCGACATCGTATTAATCCTTATCATATATAGTATTTTAATCTGGCGAATTTTCAATAAACCAAGCTTATTCTCTACCTATTCTTCTTAATCCGGATTATTATTCAAATGTAGTTAAACGTTCTACTTAATTTTTATACTGCCATGTATATAGATGGTCATGAGAAGATACTATTATATGTGTTTTAGTCATTGTACATGATACTGGTTCTATATTTATTTATTTCTAATCAATTGGAGATCCTATACTATTACATAAATCTATTTACCATAAATCTAAACTTACTATGTATGTTATTATGCAACACATGTCTCCTGCTGATTTTATATTTTATAGATTTTTTACATATTTTATGGTCTTTTTATTGCTTGTAATATCCCAAAAAATAATAGAATATTCAACTCTATCAGATTTTTAATATGCAAAAACTAATGTATTGTTTGATAAATATGCCCATTTATGATCAACTTTTATATTTGCGAAATATATAGAACTTCCTACTGCCATTACTAAACGTAATCCATTTCCTTCCCACGATATACTACCTACATTATCTGCTACTGCTATCTTTATTTTTATTATATTTTTAATTTTTATTTTTATTTTATACACGTAAGGTTTTTAAATGATTTCCTTAATTACAATAAAATTATACAATTCCTTTCGCTTCGCCATTATCATTTTATTAGCCACTAACTGCAAATACTGTTCCATTAGGATTCCATTTTACTGAATGAATTTGCATTACAGTATCGATTAATATTGAATCATCATCTTTTTCATTTCTCATTAATTATATTCTTCCACATTCTTATTAATAATTAAACAAAATATTATAATTTTATATATATATATAAATATTTAAATATAGATTTTTATATAATTATAATATATATCCTAAATATACAATATGCAATGCATAATCCAGGCGGTGTATCATCTGTATACATTTTTGCTTAATTATACCATTCTATTGCAGCTAAAGGTAAATTAGGACTAAATAATTTTGTAGGTTCAACTAGTCTTTATAAACAAGCCATTTTAATTTAATGTAAAGACATACCACTATTATCAAAGACTCTTACTTCACCATCAATTGTACCAAAAATAATCATTTTACAATCTGGTGACCATTCCATAAAAGCGATTCTTATTATTTTTATAGAAATAATAAAAAATATTTATAAAAAAATAATATAATTACCTATGTGGATAATCTTTTCCCCAAAGTCTAGAACCTTCTACACCTCCAACAATAACTGAACCATCATCATAGGCGATACAAACTTTACTACCATCTGGAGACCATTTAATATCACTAACAAAGCTTTTATTACGATTATTAATCATTTCTTCAAACTTTCATTTATATTGTAATGATTATAAAAAATAATATAATATATATATATAGTATATTAATATAAATTAGTATATAATATAATTTTATATATATATATATATATATATATATATATATATATATTTTTATATATTTATATATATCTATTGTTTTTATACCCATTATTCATTATGAATCATCCATACTATAATTAAACCATTTGTATCAATAGATGTTAATTTCTAATAACGCACATTCCAGTCTATTTTCGATACTGTTCCTGAATGATTTTCTAATGTTTGATTTAATAATAATGCTCCTGTTTGGGTTGGTGCTGAACCGTCGCGAATTTTCTAGTCTTCTAATTTTAAGATTTTTAATAACCCGCGTTCACCTCCTACTCCTATCCATCCTTATTCACTATTCCATGATACGAATTCAACTTTTATATTATTTGGAATACCAATTTTCTTGGAAAGAAATGCAAACATTTTTTTATTATTATTTTTTTTGCTTTTTTTTGTTTTTATGTTTTAAAAATAAAAAAAAATTATTTTATTTTTTTAATTAAAGTATAAAATTTTTTATTTTTTTAAATTTTGAATTTACTTTTTTATTTCAATTTTATTTTTTTATATTATTTTAATGGATTTTTTATTTAAATAAATAGATTTTTTATATGTTTTATTTTTATTTAATTTTTAATTTATAATAAAATATTTATAATTGAATCTATTTATAATATTAAATAAATTTATATGTATTAAAGCTAATTATATAACTGATCTTGCTATTATAATTATATATAAATATTTATACTTATATGAATATTAAAATTATTAATTTCAAAATAATATTTAAGTTTAAAATAAATACTATATAAATAATAATACTTAAAATAAATATATATATAATTTCATTTAAAAATATTTTAATAATAAACTAATTAAATTACACAATGATATAAAATAAAAAAACAAATTGATAAAAATTCAAAAAATAAACTTTTCTAAATTAACAAGTTCATTTTCTCTAATAAGTTTAATTTAATCCATAATTGTATATGATAAAGCATCAAAAACATATTCGATTTCTTAAATTTTAAAATCTAAATTTTCTTAAAAATCAATACAATATGTACTTATTATAGTACTAAATTTTATAATTTCATTTAGAATATTTTCACATTAAAAAAAAAAGATTTTTTAATTAACAAATTATAAAAAATAATTATGTAAATGAATTATTTTTTCAAATTCATTTTTATTATTTTCAATTCCTTCCAAAAAAAATTTAAAAGAATTTTCGATAATATCATAAAACGCAAAATTTAAATATTAGTTTAAAAAATTCTATATTTTCATTCTTAAATTTTAGGTTATTCTTTATATTTTTTATTTGTTTTAAATTATATTCTTATTTACTATTTACCATTATTATCTTAAGTTTTTCAATGCGTATTTAAATTTTATTAACTTCCCGAAAATAATCATATATAATTTTAAATTTTCCTCATTAAATATTTCACTCATAATCCCTTAAAAGTTACTAACTTTTAATTTTACTATACAATCTATATTAAAGCTTAGTATATTAAACCCAATATTTGACAATTTATTCTTTTCTAATTCAAAATAAGCCTAAACAAATTCTAAATCTTATTCTTCGAATAAAATAATGTTATTATTTAACATAAAAAGGTCTATTTCATAATTAGAAAGTACTATGGTATCCAAAAAATCATCGATAATATCACCTCTTTCACAAAAAAAATATTTTTTAAAAAACTAAAAAACTTTAAATAAATTATATTTTTCAAAAAGAAGATTTTATATAGCTTTATTTGTCTATAAAAAATAAATCAATAGTTAGATATATATTTATATATAAAAAATAATTACTATTATATATTATTATTATACTGCATTATAAATACAAGTATTTATAATAATATTTATTGGAATCTTATGATTTTTCAAATTCTCTTCATTAATTTAATTAAAGGTACTAATACTATTTTAGGTTACTTAGTTTTCTATTTACATATAAGAATTCATATCTTATTATTAAACTTATTAATTTAATTAAGATTATACTTAAATCTTTACTTAGCTTATTTTTATTAAATTTTATTTTATTTCATTTTCTTTTTTATCATACATTTAAACTAGATTTTATTCAATTTTTTATTATTCTTTTTCATCTTCTTCATCAATGTTTTATTATATTTTTTAATTTTTTTACTTTTCATCTTCTATTTCCATTTTCTCTAATTATTTGTCTTCAAGTATTTTCATCTCTGTAATTAAAGGTTCTTCTTTTGGTATAAATTTTTCACTTTCTTTTTAAAATATCTAAAATGGAAGCACTTGTTAATATTCTTTATTAACTTATTAAAATTAATTATTAAGCTTTATATAAAAAAATAATAAATATAAATTTAAATATAAATATATATATATATATATATATATATATATATATATATATATATAGATATATATATATATATATATGTTTACAAGCTAAGCTTTTTCTTCCTCTTTTTCTATAAGCTTAGTATATTTCGACTTTATTTTTTCAAGTTCTATTGATTCTTTTTATTATTTTAATAATTGTTATTTTTTTAAATTTTCGATTTATTTATATTTTTATTTTTCTTAAATTTTATTTTAATAATTCTTTAAATTTAAAATAATAAAAAATAATGTTAATTTAAAAAGAAAAAAAAACCTCCTTTGTTGTTTTTATATATTCCAATTATTAATATTCTTCTTCAGCTTATAATCTAAATTTTTCGTTCTTTAATTAAATCAAAATTTAATTTAAATAATTTTGCTTTTATTAACTTTGGAAGATAATATATTTTTAGATAGAAATTATTTCATCAGCTTTATTAGAAATTTAAATAAAATAATCTTCGTTTTCATAAATACAAGCTTTATAATTTTAAATATCACATTCTTTTAAAAGCTCTATATTTTTTATAATTTAATTAACTTTATTGATTAAATTATGAAAAAATAGAGGACATTTATTTTTTTAATCTTCCTTTAAGAAATTTATATTTAATATTTATGGCAAAATGCCTTTAAAAATTAATTATGAAATTTGATTAATAAAAGGATTTATTATTTTTTTAAAAAAAGTAAATAAAATCTATTAGTCTTTCTCCAAAAAAGATTCTTTTTCAAGCTTTTGGTATAAAGCATTCAAAAAATAAGTATTATTAGGAAAATTATTAATATAAAACAAAAGATCAAATTCTTTTTTTTAATTGTATGAAAATATAAGTTCATAAATAAGTTCTATTTCTCTAAAAGATTATCTTAGTTATAAATGAAGTTCTATTAAACTTTTAGTATTTTATAAAGTTATTAATTATAAATTAAATGATTAAAGAAAATTTCTTAATAATTCAAATACTTCTTACTAAATATTTTTTAAATTGATAATAAATATATATATATATAAATTATAAAAATTATAAATATCTATATATATATATATATATATATATATATATAAATTAAATGTTTATATACATTCATATATATACATTTTAATATTTACATATAATATAATTTATTTTATAATTTATATCTTTTTACATTTTAATTATTTTATTCATGATTTTTTTTATATATTTCTATTAATGTAGAAAGTCTGTAAATTTATGTTCCATATTTTAAATAATTTTTCAGGAATATATATAAACTATCATCTTTTAATTATTGTTTTAAAATAAAATAAATTCTTTTATTAATTTTTACGTGTTATATCTTATAATGTAATATTTAATTTATTTATATAGAATTCATTTCTTTATAAATTTAGACAAAAGAGTTCATTTTATATTCCACTTAAAAGCATAATTACATATCCAATAACTTATTATTATTCTATTTAAATAATACTTTCGGTAAAAAAATAATTGAAAAATAAATTAAATTAAGATATTTATTTTTATGCTAGTTATTTTGTAAAAACAAGATTTTTTTCAATTAAATTTCTATAATCTAGTTTTGTTTATTTGTCATAATTATTTTCCCACATTTATTTTTAGATTATTTCACTTTTATGATTTAATATTTTATCAAAATCATTATTACTATATTAGAATCCTTTAATGGAAATATTTTATTAGCTTTTATATCAAAAATATGTAATTAAGTTTTATCTAAAAAATTATATATAAAATTTACTTATTGGAATTAATAATATCGTTATTATTTTATTAAATATTTATATTTGTATCATTTATATTTTCACTTAAAACTGTTTAGTTATCTAAAATATTATTATTTTTATTTTATACAAATTAAAATTTGCATTCATTTTAATTATTTTCAGCAATATTAGATTATTTTAAATCAATTTATGGCAAAATTTCCTAATTTAAATTAAAAAAGCTTCTACTTTTATTTTATTAAACAAGAGAAGATATAGGATTATATATATCTTAATTATTATCGATTTATGGTATATTTAAATTTATACTAAAAGTTTAATTTGTATCTAATTTTCTTGTAAATGCGCCCATAAAGCATTAATCTATTAAAATTATAATAAAATATATAAAAACATTTTTATAAATTTAGAATAAAGATTAAAATTTACATTGGTTTTATTAATTCAGAGTAAATGTTTAAAAAGGAAAACATTAATTTTTTAATTCTGATGATGAAAAAGTAATATCTTTTGAGTCGAAAGATATATTTGAATAATTTGAAAATTCTAATATAATAAATTATATCAATATATATATGAAAAAAAAAAAATATATATATTATATATTTATTAATTTATATATTTATATATTTATATATTTATATTTTAATTATTATATATCTATATTTTTTTATACAATTATTATTTAGTAAAAATCCTGATTTATTATTAGAATTATAATCAGGTTGAGTCGATAAAATATTTCCTTTTTAAAGACTAAATAAGTCTATGCTTGTATTTTAATTTAACTTTCTATCTTTATATTTAATTTATTTATATTTTTTTTTATACATTTTATTTACCTGTATTTCTTATAAATTACGTACTACATTCATTTTCTTTTTATTCTAAAGCAAATATTTTTTTATTAAAGTAGGTTATTTATTAATTTGGATTTTATATATTTTATTATTGAATATATTTTTCAATTAACTAATCTGCAATTGAATATTTAATATATTTATTTTCTTCTTATTTTTCATTTTACATACATAATATTTGAATTAATTAAACTAAATTTATTTTTTATATTTAAATTATTGTCTTTTTATTATTATAATCATCAAAACATACTATTTTTTTTTTTTATAATAAATTTTAAACTAAAATTTCTAAGGCTAGGGCCTTATCAAATTATTTATTTATTCTCATTCTTTATTTATATATATATATTATTATTAATATAATATAATATTATTACTCGTATGATATTTAAACTATTTTATTATGTAAAATATTTAATTATGTTATTTCATCATTCGTATTACTATTAATGTAAGATTTGATATTTTCTCTATCTAATCTTATGAAGTTTTGTTTTAATCTTTTTTTTTTTATTTTTACTAATTAATTAATTTTAAAAATAAAATAAGTTCACTTTAATGATTTTTAGAGAATATTTTAAAATAATAATTTTTTAATATTCTTTATATTCTAAGATCTTTTCGCTAAAATATTGAGTTATTATTAAAATGTATTTTCAGATTGATAAATAATCATTTTATTAAATTAATTTTTTTTATAATATATATATTTTTTTAGTAGTAAAAAATATTAATAAGTATTTTTTTTTTTTTTAATGAATTTTTTTTTTTTTAAAAAAAAAAAAAATTAATATTTTTTTTAAATGTTTTTTTTTTTTTTATAAATTGATTTTTATTATAAATAAGAATTTTTTAAAAAAAACAATAATTTTAATTTTATTAAATCTAAATTAATAAAATTATTTTATTAAAAATATTAAATATGAAAACCTTAAAATAAAAAAATAATAATAAAAAACAAAATATGATATTTTATAACTCTGATCTTAACTAAATATATAAACAAAATATAATTCATCCCCAATAATATCGAAAATATTTATACTCAAACATATTCATGCGAAAATTCTTTTTTTTTCCTCCAACCAAAACTAAAAATATCCATAAATCCATAATAATAATGAAAATAATAACATAAATAGGTTTTCACAATTTCATTTAAATGCGTTTCTAGATAAAAATAAATAAATTTGAATCGAACTATCGAACTAAATAAATATAAGCTAAATAAAATTCGTATTTATTACCAAAAATTTACTTTAATAAAGAGTATTTGAATGAATTTTAAAAAAGTTAAATAAAAGCTAAAACTGAATAAAGAATTAAATTTAATAATTAAAAATTTTACTTTGACTGAAATTTATCAAGAATAAAATAACTTATCTTAAAAAAAAAAGATTTTATTTAAATTATTAGTCTATAAAAAATAGGTCTTAAAATTTTACATAAGCATACATGAAATGCTTTATAGAATGAAAAAAAAAAACCGAAAAAACCCAGAATAGTTAATAAGCCATGTATATTAAGAAAAAATAAGTTTCAATAATTTCCAAAAATACAGTTTATTAAAACAAATAAATATTATAATAAAGAAGATTATATTTCTAAAAGTTTATTTTAAAATAAAATATATATAATAAAATAGTAATTTAAAAAATAATTAAATTCTTCCATCTTATGTATTGATTACAAAATTAAAAATTCTTAAAAAATGAAAGAACAAGCTTTATTTATGAAATAAAAAAAAACTTTTAAATGTATCTATATTTGTTTTAAAATTAATATATAATAATATTCCATTTTTTAATAATAAATAAAATAATTATTATTTTGTATTTATAATATCTAAATAAAAATGAATGTGATAAAATAATATTTTTTTTAACAAAAAAAAAAATAACAAAAAATCTCATTTAAGTAAACTTTCTTCATGACCATGATTTTCATTTTTTTAACCTCTAATAGGTTACATACCTCCTTAAAGCATTTAAGCTGCTTTATCTTTTTTAGAATTCGGATCATATGTTTCTATAATTCCAATATCTTCTTTATATGTCCATTTTCTAATATAATAACACGAAATAAACGAAATTACACCAAAACCAACAAAACAATTAATTTTAATTTAATCCATAAACATTTTATAAAAAGGCATAAGAGAAGTAAGTCCTAAAGTAATAATATTTGAAAAAGTAAATAATAATAAAAGATATCTAAAAGGTACAAGTTAAGGTGTAACAATAAGTAAACCTCCTACCATTAATGATTTATAAGCCTTAGCAACTAAAATAGGTCCCATTTCAATCCAATAGCCTGGATTAGGTCCCATAGCTTAAGTTCCGACTTAGATAATGCCTGCAATAAGTGAAGAACCGAACATAACATTTCTCGAAGGATAAGTTTTGAAAAGGACCCAGGCAAAAAGTGCTCCTATGACATCCGTAAATTACGAAACGACTAAATTTTTCATAAAAGACCCTGATTTGATATCATTAAAAACTAAAAACGAGGATGTATATGCCATATTGGAATTAAACCAGCAAAGAATATACATAATAAAGTTAACGCAAAGTTTTGGTTAAGTAATTAATTCATTATACTTATAAAGTAGATCTTAAATAAAATTGTTAGTATCGATTTTCGCTATTTTCGATTTCTCCTCTTTATTAGCCTCTAATTCATCTTATCTATAATCGTATGAAAAAAACCATACAAAGCCAACAATTAATAATGGAAAAGCAGTAAAATTAACTAAATGATCTTTCCAATTTCCATTAGCATTTGCATAAATGAGATAAAAAAGTCCCAAAAAAGGCTAGAAAAATCCTAGAATAACCGGAGCGCAATTATTAATAGTAGCAGAATATACATCACATATATAAGCATATTATTATCCGAAATAAAACGCGAAAATGAAATTCCATCCAAATAAAATTAATGTTAGGAATAATGAGTTCAAAATTAACATCTTTATACTTCCTAATATCATAAATTCCACTATAATAGTAAAAAGCATCATTTTAGCTTTATGAGGTTTAGGTATATCAAATAACATACTCATTAGAAATCCCGCAGCTTAACCAATTAATGTCAAACTTAAAATAAATGACTCCTAAAGCTTATCTGCACCACAAAATAAACCGAATTCCATTGGTATACTGTAAAATTTTTCACTTGTTAGAAATCTATAAGGATATTGGTTTTTGCACATTTCTTATTCAGTACATAATGTCCATGTGTCGTTTATGTTACATTCTAAAGATTAGGGATGGTAGAATAAAAAAGGAAGACTTAATCCAACAGTTACTTAGAAAGAAAATAATATTACAAGTATTAAAAATTAGATCTTCATTTAAGGACTAGTGTTTTCATTAAGATTAAAACTTAAAACCCCGTATTTATCCATCTTTATATATATATATATATTTTTTTTTTATTTTAAATGTTTTTTTTTTAAAAAAATAAATTTTTTTATTTAATTTTTTTTCTTTAATATTTTATTTGTTTTTCTAATATTTTTATTTTATTTTTATAATTTTTTTATAAAAAGAATTTTTTTTTTTATTTAAAGAAATTATTAAATATTAATATTTAATTTTTTTTATACTAATAAGAATAATTTTAAAATATTTAAAACACAATATAAAATATATTTATTAATTTATATTTTGATTTGATTCAATAATAAAAAATAAAAATATAGTGTCTTTTAA